AGAACTGGGCCTAGAGGGTGGAGATGACCTGGGCTACTGCAGATCAAATTCCAAGGAAGAAGCCATCAGTGTACACATGTTAACACAATAAACACCACCATTATGAGCTAGATCATTTGAGTTCTGGACCTGTGACTTAGAAACTATGAGACTTTGGGCAAGTCCTGTAACTTTTCTCAGTTTCCTCATCAGTAAAATGAAAAAAAAAACTACTACTTACCTTTCCCTGTTTACAAATAGGGATCAAATGGAATCACTTGGGAAGGTTGCTTTATAAACCAGAAAGTGCTCTGCAAATATAGGGAGACCCTTGGAATGCTGAGGATCTATGCATGCAGTGGATCTCGTTGGAAAATCTCATGCCTATTATAAAGTCGAGTAGAAGTGGATAGAATTACATATACAAAATGGATTACTCTTACAGTTTAGGTCCATCATTAGCCTATCTATGAGTCTGGTTCTTTTATATGAGGTGAAGCTATAAAATAATGTGACTGATTGTTTTTTAACCAACAGCAGTGAAACAAATATTTATGAATCACCTCCTCTGCGTCATATATTGGCTTCTGGGAATGATAACATGGATAAATATGACACAAATTTTTGCCTTCACACACCTTACAAAGAACATAAGGCGTGCACAGAAATTAATAAATAAATAGACAAACAAATAAATAAGGATTTGTTAAGTAGTTAAGAGAAGTGTAAAGTATCACAAAATCCAGTGAAGGAAGAATTCCTTCTGACTGGGGGATCAGACATGTCTTCATGGAGGAAGTGATATTTCAGCTATTTTGTGAACAATGGGTAGGACAGGAATAAGAAGAAATGGAGAAGAGGGCATTCCAAGCCTGTGCCAAATATGAGAAAATGCCATGGTACAGGAAGTTGAGAATGTACTGTGGGGATGGTGAGTAATTCAGGTCGATCAGAGTGTAGGATTTGTAAGGAGGAGGAGTATCAGATAAAGTTGCCTCTTTTTCATAATTTTCTTGCATCTCTCTCATTTCTTTTCCCAATTTTTCCTCTACCTCTCTTATTTGATTTTTAAAATCCTTTCTGGGGCCTTCCATGGCCTGGGACCAATTCATATTTTTCTTCAAGGCTTTGGATACATGAATTTTGACTTTGTTGTCTTCTTCTAAGTTTGTGTTTTGATCTTCCCTGTCACCATAGTAACTTTCTATAGTCAGGATCTTTTTCTGCTGTTTGCTCATTTTGCAGCCTGTCTCTTGACTTTTAATTCTATGCTAAAATGGGGCTCTGCTTCCCAAGTGGAGGGGGTACTGTCCTAAGCTCCACGTTTTTTTGTGCAGCTGTTGTCAGAGATAATTCTGGGGACTTGTAAGTTTTCAGTTCTTCCAAGGTGGTATGATCTAGGGAGAGATCTGCTTACTACTCTCCTGTACTGTGCACTGGTCTGTGTGACCACAAGCACTCATTTTCACCCTGCTCCCCTGCAGCTACAAGATCTGTTGTGCTAATGCTCTTCCTTGCACTGGGACTAAGACCCAGGACTGCAACCAGCTCCAAGTATGGGCAATGCAACAGAGTCCTTCCCCATTGCCAGCAAAGGGACTCCTGTAATCTGCTTCTTACCAGTTGTCCAACTCTTTTACTGTCTGTGGACCAAGAGGTTGGAAAGCACCATTACCACCATTGATTCAGTTTGCCCCCAAGGCCTGCTCCTGGTTTGCTGGCCTGGTCTATGCTGGAATGCACTCTACTCTCACCCTGGTGCAACAGACCTTTCCTGCCCACCTTCTAAGTTGTCTTGGGCTGGAAAGTTGTCTCACTGCATATTTTCGTGGTTTCTGTGACTTTAGAATTTGTTTTGAGGCTTTATTTAAAGGCATTTGGAAAGATTGGGGGAGAGCTCAGCATGTGTCTGCGTTTTCTCCATCATCATGGCTCTGCCTCTGAGATAAAGTTGCAAAGAGAGGTTGCCTAAATTTTTAACATTAGTTAGCATATAATTTTTTTTAATGTTCTAAAGAGAACAGAGGGAAGGACAGAAAGAATCACAGACGAGAAGGACAGGGTATAAGATTACATGCTAATTCATTTTATATTTTAAAAGAAAAGCAAACTGAATAATAGAGATTTATAGCTTCTTGTGAAGATAGCTTGCTGGCTAAAACAGTGGGTCTGGAGTCAAGAGTCAAGAGGATCCAAGTTTGCCTCAGTTTCCTCATTTGTAAAGTAAGCTAGTGAAGGCAATGGCAAACTACTCCAGTATCTTTGCCAAGAAAACCCCAAATAGGGAAACAAAGAGTCACACATGTCTGAAAATGACTTAAGTTCAGAATTTAAAAACTATAAAAACAATTAGCTTATTATACATTTGAACTTGTCTTTAGAGGTAGCGTCATAGAATGGATAAAGAGTTAGCCAAGAGCAGGAAGATCTGGGTTGACATCCTACCTCTGACACATGCTGGCTGTGTGAGTTTGAACAAGTTACTTAGGATCTCATTGCCCCAGGCAATTCTCTGAGAATTGGTGGAGGGCATTTCTTCACCTGAAGTTTTCTGCACCAATAAAATCACAAGTATGGATTTTTTAAAAAATTGTTTTCTTACTTATGACCCTTTAGATTAGTGAGTATGTCTCTAATTTAAAGATAGAAGAAAACAAAATACCTTCATTTTTTATTCTTGATAACATTTGAGAATGAAAAATAGTGGAAGATCCTGTCTTGAAGTAATAAATCCCATTTCATGGCAGAGATCAATGGGGTAGGTTGTCAAGAAGACTTGGTGCATGTGGTAGTGGAAGACCTGGGTTTGACTCATGTTTTGTTTTGCCGCTTTCTACCTGTGTGACCTTGGACAACTGCCTAACTTCTCTGGACTTCAGGTTCTACAAAATGTTGAGTTTGGACTAATGGTCCCTTCCAGATCTAAATCTGTGGTCTCTTCCTAGGATTGTAAGGATGTGATTCTGTTGGTATCACTTGTATGCAGAAACCCCCTTCACTTAATTGCTTTCCCATAGTCTTTATAATAAATAAAATATAGCACAGCCACTTTGCTTATTTTTCTGTAATTCACAACAGTGAGGAGCATTCAGCACAAGTTATAGACCTGAAATTTCTCAATAGCATTTGAGTAATTATTGTTTTTTTTTAATTTAAATTGCCTTTTAGAAGAGTGAAGCAGTAATTGTTGTTTCTGACTAGATAGCTCAAAATAATGACTTTTATCCTTTTCCAAATTAATATAAATTAGGTGGTGCTGAAAAATTGGGGAAAGTAATTATCTCAACTATATTGGTGGGAAAGCTCAATGGATCCTCACAGAGGATAAAAAAAGGTTTACTTCCCTAATACTTTAATAAAAGCATTGCCCTGCTTTTTATTCATTGCTACTCATGCTTTTCTCCTCTAAACAGATTTTTAGGGGCCTCGGGAAAACAATTAGCCTCTATTTAAAAGTTACTATTATTCTCAAGGGACCTTATTTGCAAGTTTGTTCATTGGTATTTTTGCTAGATAACCACAGTCATCTCCACAGTGAAAAATGCTGCATGAAGTTTGTTCATAATAATCAAGTCCCAGTCAAAATCCCACCTTCTACAAGAAGCCTTGGGATGCCCCTTAAAGCTGGTGTCATCCCTCCACTGATTATCTACAGTGTACTTTCTCTCTCTCTCTCTGCATATATGTGTGTATATATATATATACATATATATATATATACATATATATGTATATATATATGTATATATATATATGTATGTATACACACACACATATCTTGCATGCACATAATTTTTTGCATGTTGTCTGCCATTAAACTGCAAGCACCTTGACAGTGAGGAGTAGTTGGTTTTTTTTTTTACTTTTGTTTTCTAATTTCTTAGTAGGTGCCTAATAATAAATGCTTATTGACTGGCCTTTTGCTGCTTCTGGCACAGACTATTCCATCTCCCACCTTGGTGCCTTTGCTTAGGCTACCCAGGGGTAGGGAACTTGCAGCCTCGAGGCCACATGGGGCCTTCTAGGTTCTTCAGTGCAGCCTTTTAACTGAGTCCGAGTTTTACGTAACACATTTTTTTTATTGAGGGTATTTTTTTATGTGAAGTTTGGATTCAGTCAGAGGGCTGCACTTGAGGACCTAGAGGGCCACATGTGGCCTTGAGGCCGCAGGTTCCCCACCCCTGGGCTGCTTCCATCCCCTCACCCCATGCCTGAACCATATTCCCTCATCATCTCTATCTCATAGTATCCCTAGTTTCCTTCATATCTCAGCTCAAGTGCCACATTCTACTTAAAGCCTTTCCCAATTCCCCTAAAATGTTAATGCCTCATTACAAAATTACTTTGTATTTACTATGTAAACAATGTGTAGATGTCTCCCCTGGGACAATCTAAGCTCCTTGAAGGCAGGAACTATTTGTTTTCTTTCATTGCATCTTCAGTGTCTGGCACAAAGTAAGTGCTTTATAACTGCTTATCGATTGATTGAATGCCATGCTTTTTTCCAGAGATTTTTTTGAGGGAAAAATCTCTTTCCTGTGTAGTTTGAATGGGGTCCTGTGCTCAGAATAATTCTCCAGGTCATTTCTAAGGCCAGGGAGTCTTTGTTCAGATCAATGCTCATCCCCTCCATTAAGCAGACAGTGGTTAAACCACCCTTCCCAGGACCTATGTTAGTGTCCATTTTAGTTAAGGATATCTTCCAGCATGGAAAAGATGGGATAAGTGGTAAGTCATTGTTGGTGAGGCTCTGGCTCTACCAAATGCTCATCGTTAGACCTTCGTTTCACAGGCACTGTGGTGTGTGGTAGCAGATGGACATCCAGGAGGGTGCCAAGAGGAAGAGTTCCCAGCAGTTTTAGGGATGTTCAAGGCATGTGTTCTTTGCAAAGACTCGGCAACAAAATATGGCCATGTTAGCCTGAAGAGCTGTGTTTATTTCTTTTGGCTTCTAGTTTCCCCTTGATTGTGCTGTGTTGTAAATCTGATTTCTTTTCCAATTTTTTCCCTCTGCCATTTAGGCTTCTCATCTGTCGTTCCAATTAGAAACCAAAGTGCAACAGACGAGATGCATTTTCCAAAATAAGACAACCACGTTTTACAACCATGAAATGGGGTAAGTGAGCAACACGGTACTTGGAGAGAGGTAGGTTATTAGTTGTCCACCAGCACTGCATCCTCTCTTCACATTTTCTAATGGCCAAGGGGTGTTCACTTAGAGCCTTCCTGTGTCACCTTTACAGATTCAAACACTATGTCCTTTATTCTTGGGGGCCATCTCCAATCATCCTGTATCTTGCCATTGGACCCAGATGGCTCCAGAAGAGAAAGTGAGGCTGGTGATTTTACACAGCCTTTCCTCACTTAAATCCAATTAATTGCAAGTCATGACATCTCCTTCCCCATGTCATGGTCCTTTTTGGGAATGAAGGACAAAAAACAACAACCACCTTTATTCCCAACAAACTCTACTCAAATGAGATAGAATTTGTAAAGCACTTAGTACAGTGCCTAGCACATAGTAGTTGCTTAATAAATGCTTATTCCCCTCCCTCACTGTGAGCATTTCATGTTTAATAATCACTAATCCTGAATGACAAAATTTTCCCTTGAGTTTGACTTTCTTTTTATTGTTTGCCACTGGACTAATGGATGCTTTTTTTATTTACTATGTGCAACCTTCAGGCATTTCAATATGTGGTAGTGGCCTGGGCAGTGGAACTCACTTTTACTGATTGAAAAAAAAAATTAAAGTGTCATAGATTTTGAGCTGTACTGGACCTTAGAAGTCCATGTTCTTCAGTTTACAGAGGAAGCAACGGAGGCCCAGAGAAAATTTCGTATACTAGGAGCATATATTTATACTTGGAATGAATTTTCAAGGCCAGCTAGTATAATCTCCTCACTTTACAGATGAGGAAACTGAGGTTCAGAGAAGTTGTAACTTCCTTAAGGTCGTAGTGAATAAGTGGCAGAGTCATGATTCAAACCCAAGTCTTCTGATTCCAAATCCAATGTTCTTTCCTTTGTATTATGTGCCCTCTTTAGAGGATTATTTATTCTTTTGGCCATTAGAAGAATACTAAGTACCGTGGGAATGGTGGGCCTGATGAACTGAAGCACATTCACCAACATGATGCATTTGTTCCTTTCCTGTTTTTGTTGTCCAGTCGTTTTTTAGTCACGTCTGACTCTCTGTGACCCTATTTGGGGTTTTCTTGGCAAAGGTACTGGAGGGGTTTGCCATTTCCTTCTCCTGCTTATTTTACATATGAGGAAACCAAGGCAAACAGTTAAGTGACTTGCCCAGGGTCACACAGCTATTAATTGTCTGAGGCTAGATTTGAACTTAGGAAGATGAGTCTTCCTAACTCCAGGCCCAGCACTCTGCCCCTCCTTTCCTATAAGTCAAATGAAAACCAATATGTATAAAAGGATGTTCTCCATCTAGATAGGATGTAATGACCCATTGGAAGGAATAGCAATGATCCCTTTATTCTGATTAATATAATTTGCAAGTCATGGGGGTTCCATCACACAACCAAAGCACAAACTCCTCTGTTTTGTTTTTAGTTTGGGTGCCCACATCCTGTGCTTTGTATAGAGTCATAGTTCCTACAAAATGCTGGCTGTCCATGTAGATAAGCGCAGTGGTCAGCCACAGGTCAAGCACAGGAAACATTGCATAGCTGGCAAATGACTCATCGACTTAACAGGAAATTTATTACCTCTTGGGGAGTTGAAGGGTATTTGAAATGCTGGCAAATGCTTGTGGTTGGTATGTGTGATATTGACTAGAACAGCTACTGTTTGTGTGTGTGTGTGTGTGTGTGTGTGTGTGTGTGCACACATTTCTATTTCTTTGTGCTTTGTTAGTCGCTTTTACCTGAAATGCATATTCGAATTTGGCTAAGCCTTATCTAGAAAGGGAAAAGGTGCAAGAATTTTTGTTCCTCTTGAGCCCTGTGAATCCTAGCACTTGACTGGATTTCTGACAACTTAAACTGTGCCAGACTCAAAAATTATAATTAAGCAAATTGTCACAGTGAAATCTTTCAAAATATTGCCGCTTGAATTCAATCTCTTCCTCTTTCCTGTAAGGCCCAAATATCTGATGTCAAAATATAGGCCTCATTTCATTCAATCCAGTGGAATATTTCTAACCTCCACACATGACCTTGGTGCATGGCTGGGAAAGGTGATGAGGAATGATTCTCTGCCACAGCTGAACAGGAGGCAGTGTGCATGGGACATCTCTTCCCAATACTGCTAAACCAAAGGAACTAAGGTACAGTAGGCAGACGCAGCAATTGGCAGGGCCCACCAAATATAACTCACGGCATTATATTGACTTGATGCTCTTTAACCCAGATCTTCTGAAGCTATATCTGTATTTATATCTATAGCTGTACAAACAAATATATGCATATCTAACCTATATGTCTACATATATTTTATTTATACGTGTGTATGTGTGTGTAATTTAAAATTTTAAATGAGTTTCTTTTCTTTTCTTTTTGGCCACTATCATAGTATCAGATGAGGTTTCTGTCAGAATGTCAAGGTATATAGTTTAATGCCCTAGAAAACTGCCTGAGGTTCAAAGAGATCGAGAATCTTAGATCTAAAGTTGGAAGAACATCTCAGAGAACATCTCATCTAATCTCTGCATTTTACAGATGAGGAAACTGTGGCCTAGTTGGCAAAGGCACTTGCCCAAGGTCACAAGGTAAATAAGTGACAGTGGTGGATCTGAATCCATGACCTCTGACCTATCTGTACAAGGACAATAATATAGGGTATCTATTCTTTTCTTTTTCAAAAATTCTTTTTTTATTCATTAAATATTTCCCAACTACATGTAAAAAATTTTAACAATCATTTTTTTAAAATTGTAAGTTCCATTGTGGAAGTGAATTTTGAAAACTAAAAATAAATTTAGAGAAAAAAAGAGAAAAAAGAAATTAGAGAAACATGGAAAAAATTATCTATCTATGTATCTATCTATCATATCTGGATATGAGAAAAGTTCATGCCCATAAAGCAAGAGAAAGAATGAAATAAATAAATGTGATTACATAAATTTTTTTTTTAATTGTGAGTTCCAAATTCTTTCCCTCCCTCTGTCTCCTCTGCACTCCTTGAGAAGGAAAGCACTTTGATATTGATTATACATGTGAAGTCATGCAAAACACACCATATTAACCATGTTGTAAAAGAAAACACAAACAAAATATAACAATAAAAATAAAGAGAAAAAACATATGCTTCAATATGCAGTCAGAGTTCAACTGTTTTCTTTCTGGATGTATAAGGCTTTTTTCTTCGTGAGTCCTTTGGAATTGTTTTGGATCATTGTATTGATTAGAGTAACTGTTTTCACTGTTAATCATCTATATAAGATTGCTATTACTGTGTACAATGTTCTCCTGGTTCTGTTCACTTCATATTACTGCATATAAATCTTCCTAGTTTTTTCTGAAATCATACTACTTGTCATTTCTTCATGCACACACACACATACACACGCACACACATACACATACATACATACATATAAATATACATATATATGTAGTATTCCATCAAAATCAGACTACAACTTATTCAGCCATTCCCCAATTGATGGGCAATTCTTTGTAACCACAAAAAGAGCTGTTATAAATATTTTTAAACAAATACATCCTTTAACCTTTTCTTTGATCTCTTTGGGATCCAGACCTAGAAGTGGTATTTCTGGATCAGAGTTATGTAGTTTTGTAGTTCTTTGGGCATAGTTCCAAATTCTTCACCAAAATAGTTGAATTAGTTCACAATTGCACCAACAGTGTATTAATGTCCCAATTTTTCCACATTCCCTCCAGTATTTGTCATTTTCCTTTTCTGTCATGTTAGCCAATCTTATAGGTGTGAGAGTGATAGCTAAGAGTTGTTCTAATATGCATTCTTCTAGTTATTTAGACCATTTTTTTTTTCATCTGACTATTGATAGCTTTGATTTCTTCTTCTGAAAATTGCCTGTTCGGATCCTTTGACCTTTGATCAATTGGAAAATAGCTCTTGTTTTTACAAATTTGGTTCATTTCCCTATTTATTTTAGAAATGAGGCTTTTATCAGAGAAACTTGCTATAATCCCCTCCTTCCCCCAGTTTTCTGTTTTCCTTCTAATCCTGGCTGCATTAGTTTTATTTGTGTAAAAGTTTTTTAATTTCATGTAATCAAAATTATCCATTTTACATTCGGTGATTCTCTTTATCTTTTGTTTTGGTCATAACTTCTTCCCTTATCCATTGATCTGACAGTTACATTTTTCCATGTTCCCCTAATTTACATATGATATCACCCTTTATGTACAAATCATTTATCAATTTTAACTGTATCATGGTATATGGTGTGAGATGTTGGTCTATGCCTAGTTTCCATCAAACTGCTTTCCAGTTTTCCCAACAATTTTTGTCAGATGGTGAGTTCTCACCCCCAAGGCTTATTTTAACTCTGTGTGGATCTGTTTCAAGTGTGTTTCTTATAACCAACACTGTTAAATTCTCCTCCATAGAATTCTAATCCATTCTCCTATCTACTTCTGCTTTATGGGTAAGTTCATCCTATTCACATTCACAGTTATGATTATTAACTGTGCATTTCCCTTCATCCTATTTTCTTTGTTTATCTTTCTCTCTCTTTTTTAATCCTGTCCCTCCTTTGAAATCTGTTTTGTTTCTGATCACTACCTTATTTTTATCTGCTCTTGCTTTTATCATCCCTCCCTCTTTTTTCTTTTCATCTTCCCCTTCTATTTCTCTGTTGTGTAAGATAGATTTCTATTACCAATTTGGTATCTATATGTATTTTCCTTCTTTGAATCAATTTAGATGTAAGTTTCAAGCATTACCTATGACCCCTCCACCATTTCCCCCTCCACTCAAAAAATTCTTCTTTATGTACCTCTAATAAGTGAGTTAATTTCCCAAATTTTCCTTATGCTTCTCCCTTCTCCTTGGGGATCTGTCTTTCTTACCTATCCTTTTTTTCACATCATCCCAACATAATTGAATCATTCCTACACCCTCTTTCTATGTAGAATCCTTCTAACTGCCCTAATAATGATAAAGTTT